CCCCCCCCCAGCCCCCGCGGGGCGAGGCCTTCCTACTCGCCGCGCGCAGCCCAGCCCTCCCCGCCTCGGCGAGCATGCCCAGTGCGCCTCTGCCCCGCCCCGCCCGAATTTCCGCTCCTGGTTTTCCGCGGGGCCAGGCGAGGGGCGGGACCGTAGGCGGGGCTGGCAATTTGAGTGCAGAGAAGCGGATTTGGGAGCGGCCTGAGCCCAGGAGCTAACGAAGAGTTATGTGTGGGTGCGTGTGCGTGTTAGCAGGGAAAGTTCACACTGGACAGAGGCCGCCCTCTTTCAGGACTTTGGAGTTCATGCCTAAGGGCAGAGGCTCTGCAAGGAGCGCGCGTGGGCGCGGCGGAAAGCTGGATGGAGTGTTGTACTCTTGCCAACTTCCGTTATTAAAGGCTCGAGGTCGCCACTTCCTGAGCCCCGGAGCTGGTATGCGCCTCGGGGCTGGAGACTAAAAGGCATTTTGTTGCTGACGAATGCACGGGGGTCGAAAATGTGCCGCCAACCGCTGGTGCATCCTGAATCAATAAAATGCCCTTCTCACGTTGCAAGCCCAGGACAAAGAAAACGGGTGAACACCAGGCCTGAGCCACTGTCTCTACCCCAGATGTGGTAGCCTCTTGGGCCCGGAGCTTTCTACTGACGGGGTCACCAAGGGTCCCACCTACTACCCCTCTCAGTTGTGGCCAAAAGCTGGAGACAGGATTATATCCCATTCCAGAAGTGGCGGTGGCGCCGAGTTGGTCGGGGCATGCTCAGTCCGCAGAGCAGGTTTTTGGGCTTGGAAGTGGGAAGGTTTTGCACCACACACCCACACTCTAGCTCAAATTACCTCTCCCAGACTCAGTATTCATTGGTCACGGCGCCGGGGTCTCACACCCCCAAGCGTTTTTTCATTGGCGGCCGCCAAGGCTTTATCAGTTTGGGCTGCTTCATTGGCTAAAAAGTAGCCTCCGCTCGGGATTGGTTATTTATAGAGATTGAGTTGAGAGGCGGAGGCACAGCTGTTCTTTCTCCGCTGCTCCCCGCCCCCTTCCTCCCACTTTCCCAGCCCAGACGTTTTGAAGCTAAGAGTGAAAAAATAAGGAATTTAGGCGGAGAGCTCAGAACTAAATATAGTCCTTTGTTGGTGTTTTTCGCCAGTCTGACCTCTTAGTGCCCAGTCACGGCTCTCTTAAAGGGAGCAGAAAAGACTGATTACAGTTGTTGATCCTCACGAAGAAGCCAAGTTTCCAAGTTTGTCTTTTGGTTGTGTGTGTGTGTGTTTTGTTATTTTTTTTTTTCCCAGAGAATGGGAGGGGGTTAGGATGAGAAATGGGCCACTTGGAATTCGTTTTACCCGGAGGGGAAGGGTAATGCCCTGACTTGCCTCGTAGGAAACGTCTTCGCTGTGGGGCGGGCGGGCGATCCCTGGGCTTGGCTCGGCCCGCGCTCGCGGGAGGTGCGAGGGAGACGCCTCGACTTGTTCTGAGTCTCCCTTGTCCTCACAGAGCAGAGGTGTTAAGACCTGCCTGCTGACCCAGAGCTGGCTGTGTGAGCCCCAGGGTAAGGGGATGGGGGAGGAGAAGGCGCTGTGTCAACCCTACCTCCTCGTCCTGCCTTTTTTTGAAAACCCCATGCCCCTGCCCACTGGTTTTACCATCTGCATCCTAGGGCTGAACCAGGCGGTGAGCTAACACTGGGTTTCAGTTCCCAGTCCCGCCGTGACTCACAGCCACGTTTGCACGTTAACCTTCTTCAAAGCCTAGGCTGAAGCTCCTAGCGTGCGCGCCTGCAGCGGGAAGTCCTTGGGCACAGATGGGGCAGGACCGAGACAGCGGCCAACGCCTGGGTGAGGTGGGTGGGGCTCACCCCCGCGCCAGGCCCTGCCGTTTTGTGGAGAGAGCGCTTTCACCTTGACTATCAAAATGCTAGGATGTAGTTATGCTTATGTAATTCTCCAGAAAAGCCTCTTGGAGGCAAATTCGCCTGATAGAGCTGGAGAGAACCCGCCAACATTTACCCAATGTTGAGTGTCTGCCAGGAGTTTTGAATGTACGATCTGATTTGCTCCTCATAATAATGATGCATGATTATGCTCACATTAAAGATGAGGAAACTGAAGCCCTGAAACGTTCAGTAACTTGCCTGAGATTCACAACTAGAGAGTAAGAAAGCTGTCAGCACAGGTGTTTGGTTGCAGAACGTGGTCTTCTAACCACCAACTGGTACTGCCTTCTCACCGAAAGTTCCATATTTCACCTTAAAGAACCTAGAGGCAGTGTAATTAGACTGACTTTTTTTAAAAGAGGTTTTTGCTTTAGTGGGCCTGGAAGAGGTGGGGGAAAAAGAAAGAGAGAAACAGAGACAGTGAGAGAAGTGAGAAATCCCCCCACCCCAGGATGTGGGGGTAGGGGATGGCCACAGGGCAACCCCATCTTCTTCATTCTCCTCCGGGGATCTTGGGCACACATGCACACACACCTAGTGTGAGTTTCAAACCACCACCAGGTCTGGGACTCAAACTGTGGTGTGCCACATGGAAGTCCAGTGACATCATAACCCCTACCTACACCATCTACTGACCTGAAGAATGGATTTTTTTAAGAGGTTTTGCTATAGGGCGCATGCACTTGCCAGAAAGACAGAGACAGAGAGATAGAAAGTGAGAAACCACGCCCCAGGGGAGATGGCCATGCCACAATCCCTTCTCTTCCATTCTCTTCCCGGGATCTTGGGCACACACACACACACACACACATGCCCAGTGTGAGTTTAAGCCACCAGGTCTGGGACTCGAACCTCAGTTGACTACATGGGAGTTCACCGACATAGCCATTACACTAACTGCTGGTCCCTGGATCTTAAACCCAAGCAAGGAGGAACTCTGCCCCGTGGCTGCCCTCTGGCAGTGCACCTTCCCACAGGACTAGGATGATGGCCCACCTGGAGCCTGAATGATCTCCAAGAGTACTCAGGTAATCAGGACGCCAGAACACCCTACCCAAATGATTCTGAACACACTTCCAGGATCTACCTGGGACTCTAAACTCATCCTTGTGTCCTCGAAATGGCTCTTCGTTGGGGTGTGGACAGTGGTTGAATCTGTGAGTGTAGGTGTGCATGCCCAGGTGCTCTGGGCTCCTCCTGCGCAGAAAGCTGCCGTGTTCATACATGTAGAGGGGTCTATTGGGGTCGACTTTATCTTCCCAGTCACTTTCCAGCCTGGTCCTTAGAGGTATGCGAGAATTCGTAATTCACATGTGGTCTTAATTCCAGGTCCCTGCGAAGAAGTATTTGTCAAGGTGGGAGGAAAGGTATGTAACAGTTTATCTCATTTATAACTTAAATACTTAGATTAATGCTGCTGTGGGCCTGTATTTGTACTCTTGCTCACAGAGGTGTGGTTCTGAGTATACCGTAGAGGAAAATGTCCTTAGAGGACTGGTATCTAATCTCAGTTGGATATCAGTTATTATCTGGGACCTTGGGCAAATCCCTTAAGCTTCCTGACCTTAGTTTTCCTATCTCTAAAATGGTGATAATAAAATTTGCCCTACCCACCTTGCTACACAAGGAACCTTGGAGAACCTAATCACTAAACCCCTTATTTTACAGCAGAGAGCACAGAACAGGAATAGAACCTTGGTATTCTGACTGCCTTTTCCATGTTCCAAACTGTCTACAGGGATAATAATTAACAGATAATAGAAGGAAAGGTGTTTTTAAAGCTGTAGTGCTTATACATGCATCAAATTAGTACTCAGGTTCAACAGCCTGGCAGTCCCATCTGGAAAAGACCATCCTGAGGTTTCCAGGTAGCCATGTGGATGGGTATTGTGGAAACACAATGGATTCTTTGGTACCAGAAAGATGTCACATTTTCAATACTTTCTATTAGGGACTCTTTGGTAGCCATTTTTTTTTTTTAGTACAAATGATCTCCCCCAGAAAGATTTATTTTGGGATTTTGGGATTCACAATGAATCAATTTTTACTGATACACAGATTTTTAAGATTGGCCAAGGGACCAGCAGTTAGCATAATGGCTATGTTGCTGAACTCCCACGTAGTCGACCACGGTTCGAGTCCCGGACCCGGCGGCTTAAACTCACGCCGGGTGCGTGTGTGTGCATGCCCAAGATCCTGAGAGGAGAACAGAGGAGAAAGGATTGCAGCATGGCCATCCCCCCCGGGGGGTGATTTCTCACTTTCTGTCTCTCTGTCTCTCTCTGTCTTTCTGGCAAGTGCACGCACCCTATAGAAAAACCTCTCAAAAAAAAACAAGATTGGCCACTTTCTTTTTGAAATCTGCTAGAAGTCTTTTTGATCCCCCTATGGTGTGAATTATTACCTATCCTTTGCCATAATTATTTACATAGCTATGTCTAGTCACCATAAACACTATGTGACTTATTACAGGATAGGATCCATGTCTGGGTTAGCTCTCAGACTTCCCTTGTCCTTCAAAGCACCTAGCACAAGCGAAGGCTCTTGATAAATATTTACTGATAAATCTATTAATGGTATTTTATTCGTTTTCCAACCTCTGTGGTAAAAGATAACCTTGAGAAGACATAAATTTCCTGGATCCATAGAAAAATGTGTACCAATGTCTCAGTACTCCTGAGTCAAAAAAATGCTGGAGTGATCACGGTGTTCTCTATTATAATATAGGTGGAACAGTGGGTCAGTCTTAGGGAGAGATACAAAAGCATCCAATTGATAAACCCTTTCCCTGATGAAGACTTAACATTTTCAAGTGACATGAAAAGACATCTCCATTTCTAGAACACAACCTAAAGTAAAAGCTTCCAGGTGAGAAGAGCTTCCCCATTGATACTGAATATTGCATCACAGGGGTCATATCCCTGACCTTTGCTCATGTGGTAGTACAGCTGAGCTACTAAGATGTTGGGGTTATACCTTTATATAACTAGGTTTGTTAGAACATGAACCATTGAGTTGCTGGTTGATTGATGGATTGACAGTGCCTTGCTGTGTTGCATCCTCCTCCCTCAGCCTTCAGCTGGTACTACAGGTTCATACCATTATGCCTTGCTTATTTCAGTATAGGATATCCCCATACTGTGTTGTCCAGGACAGCCTGCAGCTTATGATCCTCCCGTCACAGCCTTCAAAGTCACTGGGATTACATTCAAATGCCACCTTCCCAGGCTTTAGGTTGGACTTGGAATTGAACCCTGGCCTCCTATGTGTACAATCTTACCAGCACAGACGACCATGGCTGGGAACTTCAACTTAGATCTTTTAAATCTTCCAGAAAATAAGTACCCACATGTCTTCTTTATACGAAGTAAGTCAAGGTTTATTTCATGCTGTTTCTAGTTTTAGCTAGTGTCACCTATGGGTAAACAAACAATTTCAAACAAATTCTAAGAATTTTTAAAACACAAAGGCTACATTGATGGTGACCATGCACCATTATTTTAAAGAAGTGTTAGTATAGGATTAACCATGCCTTGTAGAGTTCTCGGTCCAGAGTTCTCCATTTGTGGAATAACTGAACATGTTTTAATATAACCATGTATCCATTAGCAGACCTTGGATGACTTTATTTTATCAGTGATCTTTTAAAAATAACCTCTAGTAATGCCTCTAAAAATATTTTATAAGTCAACAAACCATCATCATTTCACTACTTGTACTATTCCGATTACACTTTGACTAGCCAATACGTTATTTCACACTACTATGTATGTTTTGTATTGCACATTGGGCAGCTACCTTGTAAAAGCAGTAACTTGTAGTACTTGTGATGAGATTTTGTATGTTTATATAATAAAAATTTCCTAAAATCCTAGTATGTTAACTAAAGAGAAAAAACCTTATGCTTAATGTTTGTAATTTTGTGCCTGCTTATGTGACTTGAACTGTGGTTGCTTTTTTATGTTTTAACTGTGCCTCAAAAGAAAAGTGTGAAAAATCTTAAATTTTAAATTAAATAACCTTGTAAAATCATTCAAGCCTTTTACAAACTTCTTGATAAGGCAAGACAAAGGAAGAGGAAAATCGAAACAGCTGTTGTCTCAAAGTTATTGTTTATCAATCAATTCAGTATTGAATAATGATCTCAACATAAAAATGTACTATGTTTTGGGGTTGTTGGTTTTTGTTTCATTTTGTTTTAAAAATGAAAACACTCCTGTCTCCATAAAAAAATGTTATCCTGAGTCAAAGACAGACACAGTGTAATAGTGCTGCAATGCTTGCCAATGCTGGCCCCATATGGGAAGGTTCTTGGTTCATGTCCTGAGATCTCATTGGGCCCATGTGTGTGTGCTTGTGATCTGGGGTAGTGGAGGCTAGGGGTGGATTGCAGCATGAAAACTCTGTCGGGGGTTCTTGTTTTTCTCTCAGAAGAATTAAGTAAAAAATCTTCAAAATAAAAAAAAAAAAAAGTAGCCTATATTGAGGTATCAGATCGGCCAAGCTAATTCCATACAGCTATTCAGTAAGTTTGAGTTTTATCATAAACTTTTACTAATAGTTGGATATATTTTCATACTTCTGCCTAATTTTAGGTAAAAACAACAACAACAACAACAAAAAATAATAACTAAAAGCCTCTCCTCTCTAAGATAAAGGATCTGACCATTTCTGTCCAAGACCCCAATCTGAAGAGAAACAAATGAAACTGTCATGGCACCGCTATTAAATGGAGAAGGTACTCTCACTTTAGGGGAGTTTTAGAGAGATTTCATTGATCCTATTTTCACAGTTGAAAGCTCAGTTTCCAATCCCATTCTGTTTAAGACTTATTTCTTCAGAACCTTCTGTTCTAGAGAACCAAATATAGCAAGATTAGGAGAAATCGCTTAGTTCCATTAAAAAGAATTTTCTTCTTGCTTTCATTAGTCTCACCGACCAATAAATTAAAGGATCCCCTTTTCTTCTGCGGGAGCCACAGTCCCTCACTACCCCAGATGTAAAATTGAAACCTATCCCCCCTCCAGAAGCGGCAGCTCCAATAACTCTTTTAGATTTTGTGGTTTTGATGGAGATAATGAGTCTATACTGGGGGAAAGAAAGTTTCCACCAGCAACAGGTTTTGGTTTAGGGACTCTGCCTATTGGGGGTTCTTTTCTACTGACAGTTAAATAATTTAGTCATTGGGAGATAGAGGAAAGGACCTGTGTGTGGTGCCTAGGAAGATAACACACCAAAGTGCAGAGTTTAGTCTATTTAAATACATTTGTGATTTTTGTATTCAATTCTGTCATGAAGTTTTATAACTTGTTTGTTGGTTGTTTTAAATTTGTTTTTACACTTACATGTAAAAGGGACATACCTGTTCTATTATTCAGTGACTGTAATATGGACATACTATCCCAAAAATGTAAAAAATAAATCTTACTGTTAAGGAATTTATGTCCCCCCCCTAAAAAAAAGAAAAACCCTCATTGTCTTATGGAATATAATTTAATGGAAATAAAAAGGATAATCCTAGAAAAATCTATCAAGTATTTCTGTTTCATATAAGGTAAATATTCTAAATAAGTGATTCACACTTTCCTTTTTCTTTAAAGAGCCATATGGTAAATATTTCAGGCTTTCAGGCTGTGCCATCGCTGCTGCATCCACTCAGTTCTGTTCTCATAGGATAAAAGTAACCATAGACAATATGTAAATAAGTGGGCCTGGCTGTATTCCAATAATACGTTCTTTGTGAAAACAGGTGGTAGATTGCATTTGGCCCACAGGCCCATAGATTGCCAATATCTAAACCATGTATAGTGAAAAAACAAAAACTTCATGTGTTCCCAGAGATTCTTTTAATGAAAATAAACTACTAATCTGTCATTAGGTATATTCATAACTCTTGGCCATAAATTTTAGTAAAACCTCCATCAAATAATGAATATGTATGAAGAGAGAGTGACCACAATTCTGTATCATTTATGAGATGTTCATATTGTTATTTTTAGTCAAATAATGTAAAATAAATTTCTCCTCAACAGTTAAGGTACTGGCCATTTTTTATTGAACTCATTTGTTTCATGTTGACTTGTAATTGTTGATTATAATTAAGTTATAGGATATAGGGGGGATAAGTCATATGTTAACCACATTCTTACAAAAGATGTTCAGTTCATTTGTTTGTTTGTTTGTTTTTCTTTCACAAGTAAGAGAGAGAGACAGAGTCAACACCTCCAACAGGATATTGACTCTGCACTATAACTCTAGCCCCTGCCAGCCCCGGATCATGGGCATGCATGTGCCAGTTGTCCTCAGGGAGGACTCTGGACATGAACCTGGAACCTTCCCAGATGGGTCAGCCTCACAGCACACCACATTTTACCACTGTGCCACCATCCAGCCCCTCAGTGTGTTACTCTTCTTTGATGTGTTTATGATTTTTAATCAAAAAGTTTTAAAATACTCCTGTTTTTAATTTATTGACCTTTTACCTTTATGGGTTTCCTTTGCAGATTTCATGCCACATCTTGTATTCAGAGATAGTTTACAAAATTCACGTTTTTTCCAGTGTTGTTTTTTTTTTTAATTTCATTTTTTATAGTTACATTTTGGCTTGCTTTTCCCCTGGAAGGAAAACAACAGTAAAGATGGAGAGATTGAAATTCAAGTCATAGGATGTCCACTGAATAGAGGAGCCTGAGGAAAGAACAGAGAAGTCTGAGAACTCTGTTGGCAAGGCTGAGGAAGAATTCTCCTTTTCCAACAGGAAGGAAGAGCCAGGAGACATGAAACTGGAGCAAAGAAGGTGAAAATCTGAGAGAATTCACATTGCAAATAACCATCTCACCACAGATAAAAACAGCAAGGCACCTGCTGAAAGAGAGGAAGCCAGATGTGAGTTGGGGAGTCTCAGCGGAGATGAACTTTTTCTAGCAGCATCCAGCTTTAAGTGGCCAGGCTGCTAAATTTGCAGTGTCACTTCAACTTTTGTTTTGTTTTGTTTTTTAGGTTTCTGTCATAGGGCACATGTGCTCCCTGGAGAGAGACAAAAGGAGACAGAAAAAGGGAAAGTGAGAAATCACCCCTAAGGGGAGATGGCCATGTTATAATTCCTTCTCCTCCATTATCCTCTCAGGATTTGGGGCACACATGCACATGAACCTAGCATGATTTTCAAGCATCCGGGTCCAGGACTCAAACCACAGTCAGCCATGTAGGAATTCAGTGCCTTAACCAATTCTGACCTAGCTTTCTTTTTTTTTTTTTTTTTTAAGAAGGAGATTGATAATTCCTCTTAATTCTGTCAAACTGGATTCCATTAAAATTTCTGAAGGTTTTTTCCTCAATATATACAAATAATTACAAAATGAACTATGTACCTCCCATAAGCCCATACCATTAGTACAAATACATGCACTGACCTGTGACTTATGTAATTAAAAATTCCATTACTAATGAGAAATTAAATGAACGCAATAAAACTGTCTTATCTATGTAGTCTCTTGAGTTCCTCTTTCTATAGCATGTTGAATTAGCTCTCAGAGAATCATTTTGAATAGCTGACTATTTGTCTACAAAATGTTGCTGTTATCCGTGATATTCTGTCACAAAAAGAAAAATATTTTTATTATTTTCACTAGATAGTATATGTTTGCTCTAATAAATTTGGGATATATGAAAAAGTAGGAAAGTAAAATAAAAAATAACAAATCACCCCCAAAACAAAACAATCTTCTTATCTTTTTATCATAGGATGATTTTATCTATTCCAGTAGGTCTCATTTTCTCATGATTATTTTAACACACAGTTCAATTTAGGCCTCAGATACTCTGTAAACTTCAGTTGAAGAAATGAGAAATTAAATTAAAAAAAAGATATCTTAGGTACCTACTAGGTGAAGAATTTTCCTGTCTTATTTGATGGTTTTTCATGAGAATATCTCTATTTGTGTGCTAACATTGTTGCAAGGCTACTGAGAGGAAAAGTTACCCAGGAAGTGGCTTTCTTCACAGAGTTCTGATGGTAATCTGGTTTGTGGTTATTTGCCTGTTTGTCCTGAAGGTAGGATAAAACATACTCAGATTCATGTCCTCTGGGGGAACAGAACATGGCTACCCCTCTGTATCATAAACTAGTGAAGCCAGGATTTCGCCTGTATTCCCCCATATGATGTTGTCACTCCAGAAACTGTCTTCCTCTTTGTTGTGAACAGTGCCCTTTGACATCTCAGCATCATTTTTAGCACCAGCAGTGACCCAGGCATCACCAACACATTCTGCTTTCTTTGTCACTTTGCACCTATCTCTCTTGTCCTAAGTGTTTTTTGAAGCTTAAAAGAAACCTGCCCTTTAGTGTTTCTGAAGGGGGCTCTTAGTGTGTTTGGGAAATGACTTATTCTCAAGGCTACAAAGTCTTTGGCAGAGAAGAAGAGATACTTTTGCTGACTTGATTTCAGTCAGAATTTTTTCTAATCTGTTCCTATTTGAATAGAATATTTATTTGAATAGAATATCAGACATAAGCAGTATTTAAAATTACATATGTATTATAATAATGGAATGGGAATTCCTGAATATTACGTGCCTGATAAATCTACTTTTTCATTAAACCTTGTATGCAGTAAAATTTCCTAACTTGAATAGCACTTCTTCTAGAGACTGACGCAGGAAGTTAATATTTGATGCTTGGGATATGGAAATAATGTTCACAGATACCACTGTATTTCCTCTGGGTAAGCTGAATAATCTTATACAATCAGAATAGTTTTGTTAGCCTCTGATAAGCTGTGGTTCTGAAAAGATCCTTCATTAAATATATCATGTAGGACACTCTAGGACTCTGCAATTTCACAAATATTAAACTGTCAGCCCATTTTTATTCTGCTTAATTCAGATAAACTTTTATTGATGTATAAACCTACAAGTTAAATTAGACCAACTTTATATGACTTTTACGTACTAAGAATTATAGCTTGAGCCTAAGTTTGTTTCGTTCTAAGACAGTGGCAAGTCAGGAAAAGAAATTCTAGGGTCAGTAAATGAAACCAGTGAATGCACTATTCGGTAAGGGTCCAAGTTACCACTAAAAAGGAAATAGAACAGGTAATTGAGGCTCTTAAATGGATTAAAGGACAGAAGAAATCATTAAAGAGAAAGGGATAATATCATCTTAGATTATCCTTTGGAAGGGTCCCAGCGAATCTACCTGGGGAAGAGAGATGCATAGAACAGCAAGCTCTCTTGGTTACTGAGGTGTCAGGGTACCAGCAGCATTGGGACCCATGCTTTGCAACATTTGATGCCAAGATCAACAGCTTTCACAGCTCTAATGGTCACAGAAGGCCTGGGATAGAGTTTCACAGCACCAAGCAGTCACTACCAGCAACATAATAGTCACTTTTTACATTGTCAGCTGCAGTGAAGGCTTCAGTATAACAAGCCTAGGAGCAAAGGCAATGGTCCAACCCATAGAGCAGCCAGGGAGAGGATAAGGGAGACACCCTGACGGCTCCTTAATTGTGAGGAATTAAGGGGGTCTGAACTTTCTGCACTGTTGTTAGCACCTGAGACAAAATAAGATAAAATTAAAATGATAAATGATTGTGGTTGTCTTACCCCTCATCCAGCATAACGTAGGAAATTAGGTTACATGGCAAACTGTTTAGAAATACGTTTTTTCAAAATAAAGGCTAAGGTTGAGCCAGCTGAGTGGCATGGAGGGTAAGGTAGCTGGATCCCACATAGCTGACTCCATGGTTCAAGTCTTGGGTTGGCAGCTTGAAAACACACTGGGCATGCGTACATGCATGCAAAATCCTGAGAGAATAGAGAAGAAGGGATTGTGGTGTGGCCATTTCCCCTGAAGGGGCGGTGATCTTTCTCTCTTCACCTCTGATGAGCTCACATGCCCAATAGCAAAAGCTACAATAAAAAAAAAGCTAAGGCTGTTTGCACTGGAATAATTAGGAATAGTTATGGCTGTGCTTAATAGAGACCCAGCTAAGGGGTACTGGTACTAAATTAATAAAGGTTTATTTATCGCATAACAAGAAATCTGGAATTGGAGTATTTCTGGCATGTGAAGAGAAGTGCTGTTACAAAAATCAATGCGCTTCTGTGGTAGACAGAAGATGATCTGGAAAGGGGGGTGAAGGATACACAAAGAGGGCCATTTATTTTACTAAGAAAATAAACACTCCAGGTGAGTTCCAGTTATATTTCTTCGACTAGTAGTGCATTGAATGCTTCTTTAGCTACAATGGAGACCGGGAAAATTAGTGTATAATTCTTTCATCCTCTATAAAAAAGAGAGAAAATAAATTGTAAGCCAGCCTGTAGTGTCTACCCCAAACACCAAATCACTTAAACTCTATATTTTTCTGTCACTTGAATTGGCACATCATTGTTTATGCCTGTTCGATGAACACTAGGTGAGAGATAGATACATCCTTTTATCTTTTCATTGAAAATTATGTTTGATAGGTCTCACAGCCATGTCCTATCTACAGAGTCATGTTCCAAGACCCCCAGTGGATGGCTGAAAACTGAAGTTGTTACCAAACTCTATGTAAATGAGAATAATTCAAAACAAAAAATGGAATTAAGGTACAAGTTTATTTTGGTGCAAAAAACATTGAAATCCATACATAGTTCTTTCATAATACTCCATAAACATTTCAAAGACCCCTTGTATAGTAATGTTTTTTCTCCTTTTTGTAGCTATGATAAAGTTTAATTTACAAATTAGACATTAACTCTTAACTATTAACAATAATAAGTAATAATAAAATAGAAATTACAACAATATACTGTAATAAAAGTTATGTGATCTCTCTCACAATATCTTATTATACTGTACTCACATAGTTTCTGATCAGGGTTGATTGCAGGTAACTGAGAAAGCAAATCCACAGATATGGGAGGTCTACTGATTTTTTTTTTTTTTCAGATTTTGCTGTGTACAGGATATAAAATTTTCATTAACCCAATTTCGGTTTACACAAAACTCTACAAACAGTTAATACTTTTACATTTTTAGATTTTACATTTTGATGACCAACAATATATATAAAATAGAGCACTGGATTTTGAGTCTGACAGACTTTTTTTTTATTTAAGATTTTTTAAATTTAACTCTATTTATTTGTATATTTATGTATTTGAATTTGACCAGAGCGGAACAGAGTGAGAGAGAGAGAGAAAGAAAGGGAAAGTGAGAAACCAAGCCACCAGGTCCAGGACTTAAACTATGGTCAGTCATGTGGGAATCCAGTGCCCCCCAACCACCACACTACCTGTAGGCCCCAAGTCTGACAGACTTAAAAGATTTGTCTTTCTAGTTGTGATAGTTTGGACCATTTAATGTCTGTGGTAGCCAGTCTCCAACATGGCTTCCATCAGTCCCACTCCTGGCATTCACACCCCTGGAGCGTCCTCATCACAGTGTATCAGGGTTGGTCTGTATGACCACTAGAACATGGCAGGACCCGTGGGACAGCTTGTCCAAGATAAGTTATAAAAGATTTCAGCTTCTGTCTTGGGCTTTGTCTCTCTTGAGTGTCTCACTCAGAGAAGCCAGCTGTCATGTCTTCCAGACATCTAGACATCCATGTGATGAGAAACCAAAGCCCTTATTCCAATGGCAGAGAGGAACTGATGCCTGTCGATAATCAACACAATGAATTTGGAAACTATTTCTCCAACATTCAGATGACTGCTGTCTCAACCAGCAGCTTGACTACAAGCTCTGGAGAGACTCTTTCAGAACCACCCAGGTAAACTGCTCCCTGAGTTCTGACCCTAGGGAATTGTTGACACCAGTTTCTTATGTTAAACCACTAGGTTTTTTTTCTTTATGCATAATGAGCTCATATGTGTGCATGAGAGAGAGAGAGAGAGACAGAGAGGAGCCACTTTTGACAGCGTCTGGCTATGCTGCTATCCCATCTGCGGCCCTCTAGCCAGCTGGATCTAGAGCACTCACGCATGTATCCTGTGTGCTTCAAGCTGACTGTGGTTGCCACGTGGTAACATGTGGGATCTGCTTCTCTATTTTTTAAAAATGTATTTTCCTTTATTCATGATAGAGTGCAAGAGCGAGAGAGAGAAAGCACCCCCTAATGGGACTTGGAACCCTTCCCCCAATTCTCCATTCCATCAGGACTCTGGGTGCATGCACTGGCATATTGCCATTAGGGCTCAGATTTGAACCCAGTTGGCCACGTGGGATCTGGCCCCTCTGCACTGTGACCAACTACTCTCCTGTGGGACCAGCCCCTGGCTTTTTGGAGCAGCACACTACCACTACGCTACAGAGCTGACCCTTCAGCTACTAAGTTTTTAAGTACTCTTTTTTACTGTAATAGATAATGATTATCACTTCTGTAAACTTCAGTGTCCTCTCTATAAGCTGGGATATAAATGATTATGAAAATAATAAAAGTAATGTGTGTGAAAAGTCCAATGCAATTTCTATGGGCACAGATAATATTTATTTGACAAGTACTATCTGTCCATGGTTCTTTTTACAAGTTTACTAGTTTTGAAACTTCTTTTTTTAAGAATAGCGCAATTTTTAAAAAATATCTTTTCCCTTTGCTTTTCTCTGATACTAGTGTGGAATAGATACAGTACACAGCTGGCTCCACAGCATTGCCTAAGCCCTCTGCTGCACCAGGGGCGGGTTTTGTTATTTAAGGTCATTCATATTTAATTATGAATGTCTTTCCCAGAATGCTGAATGTTAGTGTCTGAATGTTAGTGTCGGATGTGTCTATTAACTAAATAAAATATTGCTCTACTGATGTAAATAGGTCTGTATTCTCTTTGAAGGCCTCAGGTGACTGCAGTATGTGCCCTCCCCTCCAGGGAAAGGCACCTGCATCACTGAATCCTGGATACTGGGAGTACAAGGTGAAGATGACTGACTGATGCACTCTGCAGAGTTGTCCTGTGTGTTTCACAGTGTTCTCCAGCCCCTTGTCCTTTCCATGGCTGATCACAGGATAGGACCACATTGTTCCCAACTTTACTACCTAGGCTTAGATCAATCCTATTTTCTTTTTCCTTTTTCTTTGTTAAAAATTACTTTCTTTTTTTTTTTTTAATGTCTTATGCTACTTCTATACCTCAATATTTTCATGCCAAAAAAGTATACATAAATGTATATTTACACACAGACTGTGTGTGGATCTCCAGATCATGTGTGTATTCTATCCAATTAGAGCACTGCCTTTTTTTTTTTTTTATCAACATAGCATCATGGGAATAACTTTTAGCTCAATGAATCGTCTTCTTTATCATCTGTTAGTAGAAATCCAGGACCTTCTTCTTTGCCCCCAAGGCAGGGCTTTTTTGCTGGTTTTGTGGTTGTTTTTAGATTTGGAGGTTTGTTCTGCCTTTGTGGTAGTTCTAAAAGTCTGAAGGTTCTGAAATATTGATTTCTAGTGAGCAGAGATTTTCCTGTGGTATTCCTGATGGATATCAGGTGCTCACATCTTCAAATAGCTCAGCTTCCGACTGGTCTCCTTGCCTCCAGACTTGCTTCTCCCATACACCAAGTGATCCCATGTAATGCCAGCGGATGAAGCCCAGTAACAGCATAACTGGGAAAAGGAGCAAATCACAGCATGGATGAATCTTAGACACATGATGTTCAGTGAAAAAAGCCAGATGCAACAACAGAGTTCATACGATGTGATTCTACTTATATAGTATCTATAAAATATAAAAGTAAATGATTTTGTTCAGGCATGTGTAATTAGAGAGTACACTATAAAGAAAATCCAAGAATAATGGTTAGCACAGGAGGGAGGAGTGCATGTTTGAGTGCATTGCAGAACGAGAGCTGGGGACAGGAAAGGCTACGGTAATTGGTGGGGCCCAGTACCAAGTGAAAATACAGGGTCCTTCGCTCAAACACTATTACGAATTTCAAGATGGCATGAGCAGAGCATTAAACCAAGGGAGGATCCTTCTCAGTGCCAGGTGCAGAGCGACCACTCAAGCTGCACACCCACAAAGCCAGTCCTGATTTGAGAACTTCTGGGGTTCTGCTAATGTTTTATATTTTTATCTCAGAAAAAAGGCAGTCATATAGGCATTTATTTCGAAAAAATCCTGAAGTTGAACATTTACGATGTACGTACTTCTGCATAAGTTTCTTCTATTTACATTTTTTTTCAATGTGAAAAAGGAAAGCAAATCAGAATGCTTCCTGCTAAGAAACCTAAAATGACTCCCCACAGATTAAAGTCTTTCCCCAGCATCTTCATTTACTGGGAGCTTAGCTCAAATGGCCTCTCATCTTAGACAGCCTTGGTTTAATAAACTATTTCATTCCTGATCCTCCTTTTGCCCTTTCTCCCTCAATATTATTTGTAACTTCTCTGTTTCAAATCAGAGTTCCTTGAGATTTTTTTTTTTTAATTCTGATAAACATAAAATTGGGAGGATGTATTTTCATCTTACTTATTTCACATTAAGATGCTTTTAAGTATGTGACGCTGTTTGATTTTAGTTGATATTATATCCAGAGATTATTATAAACCATTATAAAACCGAAAGCACTCAAAATCCCTACACATTGCAAGTCCTCAGTCCATGCTGTGATCAAGGTGACAAAGATAAAAGTTCTTACACAAACTAAGATCTGTTTGCTCACGGGGCAACTTTGGGACATAGGCAGCAAGTGTGTCACATCATCATTCAACATTTTTGGTTTCACATCTAAGATGAATCTCATAGCCGTCTTCATAAGAACGTTTTATCATCATAAATGTAATATGCTGGGAAGTGCTTTTTTATATAACAGACACCCTGGGTACCATTTTCACCAAAAACACATTTCAAAACACTATTACCCACTGTTTTCTTTGATTATTTTATTTTTTTGTGTGTGGCAAATTGTAGCTCTAACACTAGGTTCTCTTGATAAACATGTGACTTGGGCTTTTTTTTTTTAACAACAGACAGATGGGTGTGTTCTTTGAGTATTTCTGAAATGAAGAAAATGTTCCTCTTTATCAGCATCTGGGTAAGATTTGGAATTCTGTCACAGATTTGAAATATAGGCAGATGTAACCATCTTTCTCCCACATAAGGTGACACTGCAAGTACTTTTTTTCTACTTTTTGTTTTGCCTATGCCAAGCTTTGAAATCACAAATGAAGTATGGGTTTGGAAAAAAATGATATAAAATAGTACTTGGACCATCTCTTTTCATTATTCATTTTTATGCATGCCCTCCAATCATACTGCCCAGATGGCCGGTTTACAAGTCTGCGTAGCATTAAAATCTTTTAAATGTAAGAAAGACACTGATAAATAGACTTTTAAATGTATATACAAATAAGAATATTTTACTCATCTTTATACATAATTTTACTCTACATATCCTGCTCAAGTGAATTATGACAGTAGCCTGGAAAACAGATGGTTATACATTCAATGACATAGACAAACAGTAAAATCCTTCAAAGAAAAATATCCACCCCTTCTGCAGGATAATTTTTTTTAAGGTTTTTGCCGTAGGATGCATGTGCTTACTGGAGAGAGACAGAGACAGTGAAGAGGAAAGTGAGAATCATCCCCCAAGGAGGATGGGCATGCTGCAATCCCCTCTCCTCCATTCTCCTCCCAGGATTTTGGATACATATGCACACATGCTTGTCATAATTTTCAAGTCACCAGGTCTAGGACTCAAACTATGACCAACCACGCAGGAGTCTAGCACTTTAACCACCATACCACCTGCCAGCCCCAAAGATAATTATTTTAATCTGCTCAAAGACTTCAATGATTGTTCTCTTATTCTGTCAAGTAATCATGCACATGGGGGAAAAAATGAACCTATCATTCTTTGCAGAGACAATGACAGTAAGAGAATAGGAAATTTCATTAAAGATTGATACATGTCCTATTTATGCCATCCCTTTCTACATTTATTACCAAATGACCAGAGATCAATGTCCCCAATATTTTGAAAGGTTTACATCTTAAATATTCTATTCTCAAAGGCTATAGCTGTTGAGGGCCTTTTCATTTTGTAGTTTCCTTGGCCTGGGATACTGTTCTTCTAGATCTGCCTATAGCTGCTTTTCTCTCAGCCACTAAAATGCCACCTTTTCAGAAAAGCCATATCAACCCCTCTTAAGTTAACTGTACTCCCTTTTCCCTGAACCATGTAGCCAGGAGTTACTGTTGGGAATATCTGCAGGCCATATCCAAACTTCCATCTGTTTTTGTAGAGCCCATGAGTTAGGAATGGCTTTGACCATTTTCATTTTCTAATAAAAAGAATGAATGAATAAATTAATAAATTTTAATGACATGAAAATTATAAGAAATTTGAATTTTAGTGGCTATAAATAACTTGTATTAGAACACTGCCATGTGTCTTTACATACCTAGGCTCCAGGGCTGCTTTTAGGCTACAACAGTAGAGTAGCTGTTGTGAGGAAGAACAGCCCATCTGCAGTCTACAAGGGACTCGAAAACTTCATGGAATCCAGGCATGGTGGCACACACCTATAATCCTTCTCAGAAGGCTGAGGCAGAAGCATCACACATTTGAGGCTAGACTGGGCAACATGGGGAGACCCTGTCTCTAGAAAAGAAAAAGGAAAACATAGAAAATGCTTTTGTAAAAACTGTGTGTGAGTTTTCTGAAGTCATGAATGTAACCCTTAAGAAAAATTGTCACCCCTTAACATAGACTATTTCACCGCTTTTACTTTGTTTTGCTGCATTTATCAAATCTTTAATTATGTTTTTTTTTTCATTAACTTGCCCATTTAATTATATGCTTGATGAGGACAGGGACATCATTCATCTCCCTAATGCCCAGATCAGTAAATATCTGGACATACTGAAAGAAGCTTACTAAATATTTGTTAAATAATTATAAAATAAAACAATTACATTATAGCCTCTGTGATAAGACCCTATCCTTACTTTTATATCCCTGTTAATGGATCAGGAAGAATGGGGGAAATACATTTTTTTTTCTTTTTGCTAGAAACTGGGTGCACTCACTAGGGAGGGGGAGAAAAAGAGAGAAGAAAAAGCATCCCTTATGGGCCACAGTCATGCAGCAATCCCTTCTCCATGTTTCCCTCCTTCTCTCCTTTTGGGATTTTATTGGGATTTTAGTCAAACACACGAATAAGCCTGACATGCTTCTCTCTCTCTCTCTCTTTGTTTTTTTTCCATATAACACATGCTCTTGGGGAGAGAGATAGAAGGAACCAAAGTGAGAAATAATCCCCCAGAGAGATGGCTATGCTGCAATCCCTTTTCCTCCATTCTCCTCTTGGGATTTTGGGCACACCTACACACGTGCTTGGCATGATTTTCAAGTCACTGGGTCTGGGAGTCCAGTGGTTGGTCATGTGGTAATCCTTAACCATCCACCACCTGCTGGCCCTTCACAAGCTTCTCAAGCCACCAAGTCTGGGACTCAAACCACACAGTCGGTCAGCCATCTGGATCTGGCTGCCAGAACCACCAGGCCATGGAGCCAGCCCACGCGTCTCTTTATTATACTTGAGAGCAGCAATTTACAAGATTATCAACCACACAGAGAAAGGCATGTTCACAGAACAGTCCAGCACTACTTGTAAATATTAATTTCTACCTTGAGCGCTCTTATTTTGTGATGTGTCTATCTAGCTCCAGAGTCCAATGATGCCAGGCACTTAGAGAAGCTGGTGATTCCACTGTGGTTTCACTTCTGAACCAGAGGCACTCTCCCATGCCCAGTGCAGTCCCTACCCCCTATACGCCCCCCCCCCCAATAATTCGTTTCATCCTTCTACTCACTTGGAGGTGTGACTCCCAACTTTATTGTTTGGAGTTAATCTGTCTCCTAGCAATGTCAGAGGTATTGACAAGTGCTATTAAGGTCTTACTCTTTAGCAATTAAGTCCTAGAAACTAGTAGGTAGCATATGAGGAGATCTTCAAAAAATTCAGGGAAAATGTCTATTATGCAAAATTATACACTGATTTCAAAAATGTTTTGCACCAAAATAAACTTGCACTTTATTTCCATTTTTTCATCAACTTTTTTTTTCTTTTTTGTTAGTACATGTGCTTGCCAGATAGAGACAAAGACAGAGAGAAAGGAAAATGATCATGCCCAATTCCTTCTCCATTTCTCCTTCTTTTTAGGATTTTGGGCCTGTACACACACATGCCTGACATTTTTCATGCTGTTGAGTCTGGGACTACAACTGTTTGATCAGCCATGTAAGAGCCAGCTGATTTACCCATCAGCCTGGAGAGCTGGCCCTCCAAAAACATTTTAAGTTCTCTCATATATGCATTTTTTAACCCTAATTAAGATATAAATTTCTTACATAGATCCAAGTCTCCACAGCCCCTTTTCTCCCAGTTTTAGATAGGCGTGTGCTGTAAAATGTGCTAATGAGAGTGTTGCGGTGCCCTTCCACGCTCCATACCCAAGTGTACATGGACTTGTCTTGTATTAAGCTACAGAGTTCCAGAGAAGAGAGTGACCTTAAAATCAAAGGAAATTGCTATTCAGGAATCACAGCATAGTGTCTTCGCATCACAGCTGAGAGTCACTATTTTGTGAGGCAATTCCATGAAAAGAAAAACCATATTCTCATGCAAATGGTGAGTAAAATTTACCCTGTTCTGATGAAACCTGGCAAAATGGGTTGTAGTCTTTGGTATAGAGCTGTGTTTGGGGAACAGGCCATGCTAAAGGAAGGTTAAAACCTAATAAACCCAACGGATTTATTTAAATTCTTTAAAAACATACGAAGTATTAACTGACCTACCTGGTGCTGCTAGATGACTCATGGACTATGGTTTAATAAATGAATCGCTGCAGCTTCTTTTGAGCTTTGCTGCATGTTCATAAAACCATATTTGTCTTCTCTGTGCATCTTAATACAAAGGGATGTCTGTCTCTAGTGCTTAGCAGGAAGAAGGGTTGCCGATAGCCTCTCCAAGAAGGTGACCAACTATAAATTTGAATAATCCTTAGGAATGCCTAAACTGAATTTCAGTTTTGCATGTCAGACCATCCCAAATATGTTCTCTAGGTTTGATAAAAGAAATGTAGGTAGACATTTTTGTATGTTGAGTAACAGAAACCTCTTGATTTATTTATGTATATTATATATTACATGGGTTTAGAGATTTTAAAGCTAAAATCTCATAAAACAAGACATGTATGTGCCCACAGAGGTAGGGTGCTTTCTGTAGCCTCACTTCACGTGTTCACATTTCTGAGTGTATAACTTGTGAGATGTTCAAAATGGAGAACTCTGAGTAGATTTTAAGGAAGAGAGAGGATGGCAACATTGCAAACTGTAACTTCCCACTAGGGTGCTGGTAATTTTTTCTCCTTGTGGCCAGTGTGACTCCTATTTCCCCTTTTTTCTTTGGCCCCTAAGAGGAAATATCAGAACTCCATGTGAGTTCCAAAATTTTAACTTGTTTTATAGGGCTACCTCTCTGGGTTCTACCTTTTTCTCTTGAACGTCCTGGGCAGCAGGCAAAACGCTTCCACTCCCCAGGCCTCAGAATTATCAACAATAAAATGAAAGCATCAGAAAACAGCAGTGGTTTTCAAGTTGTTTTGGAGCATTGTGCCAATGACTTCCTTTGGAGGGAGAAGCTTCAGAGCAAGGGTAGGTTTTGAGGTAGATCAAAGCCTAAGGCTGGACTTCACTCTCTTCCAATGCTGATTCAGGAGAAATAGTGTTACCACTTTAGCTAGTCTGAACGTTAAGAAAATACTTCCTTAGAACAAAAAGTAAACCTTGAAACCTTTCATGCTCTAACATTTCTGAGGCCTTTCAAGTGTATAAACTTTTCCACACCAAGATTAAGAAACAAAAGACTGGAATGATATTTCAGAGTCTTCGACTCCCTTGTTGTGCAACTTAGACAAGTCACTTTTCCTCATTGGCCTTTGCTTTTCTCTATAAATTTAAGAAATTGAACACAGTGACTTGGAGGTTGTTTCTGCTTTAAAGTGCTTCATCTATTCTCTCGCATTCAATTTTCCAAGTATCTGTTCCCTCAGAAAGTGGCTGGGTAGAAGGACAAGTGGGACTGAGAGTGAAGAAGACTGCACTGCCTCTTTGTTTCCTTTTCTGTTGCTTGATGTTATGACTGGAGCCATGTTAAGAAAAGTAAATAAAAGTAAGGTTAAGAGAGGATTGGATGAGCAGAAAATAACATTTAAATATGCCATCACTATGAAACTGTTTTATTTGCTCAAGGGAAGATTCATAAAAATGACCTGTGAGGTTCTGATAAAGGACTGAGTCAGCCGAGGATTACCTCATAACGTTGCAATCCTCCCTGTGTAGAGCCAGTCTGCCTGCTGACCTGACAGAACAGGTTGGGGATTTTCTTCTCTGCCAGCTTCCGCCTTGGTAACGCCGACTCATGCTTTCACTCCGCATTGGTTTCTGTAATATACCATGCTTTGTGTCATAGGGAATGGGCAGGGCAGTTTCACTAGAGTTCTTTCCAACAGTTTCCTTTAATGAGTTTCATACACTGTATCCTGGGGCAACATTCTCATAAATGATGACATGATACCCCAAATTACCCCAAATTGTGTGTATACCTTCGCTTACCTAGAACTTCATGTATTCTGTTCCCATCATCACAAGGAGGGGGAAATTTTGACCCCAGATGGAATGTAAGTCTTACAAAGGGAATGCTATTAACTGAAGCCCTGGAGGTGCCCAGTAAGTATGTACTGGCCCAGGAAAGGGGCCCTGCTTTAGAAGGGGAGGTCTGTAACACTTACCATTACTGTTTATTATCTGGTCCTCTCAAATCCCACACCTGAGGCCACTTGGAATTAAATCTCAGGACCTCTGAAGTTCTTTCCAAAGATATTTAGTCCCCCATCTTCTCCAATCACTTCCTGTTTGCATTAGGATCTGTTTCTAGTAAAATTTTTTCTTTCTTTCTTTTCTTTTCTTTTCTTTTCTTTCTTTCTTTTTTTTTTTTTTAAGAATGCCTTAGCTTTACCTACATTCTGTACTCTCTGGAATTTCTACATACTCTCCTTTGCAAATAATGTTTACCTTGTACCATTTCATTGCCACCTGGAATAGAAAGTGAACATTTGTTATATCATATCCAAGCTTGTTAGTTCTTAAATCATACAACAGAATCCTTTTACAATATCGGTGAAAGACAGACTGGGATAGTCCTCCAATGGCAAAAAAAAAAAAAAAAAATACTGTTTTGAAGATTTTTATTTAACCTAGCTGTTCTAACTGGATAAACAAGGGGTTTATTGAATCTAGTTTTGAGTTTAAGAAAGGAAATTATTGAATTGATTTCCCTGCAAACTCTTATTTCCTTTTTTATTTATTAATTTTTATATATATTTTTTAGTTTGCCACAGGGTGTATGCACTTGCCAGAGAGACATGGACAGAGAGAAAGAGAGAAAAAGAGAAATCACCCCTGAAGAGGGTTGGCCATGCCACAATCCCTTCTCCTTCATTATCCTCTAGGGATTTTGGAATGTACAATCTTGTGGCTGGCATGATCTTAAAGCTACCTGTCCAGGACTCTAGCAGTCAACCATGTGAGATTCAGCTGCCTTAACCTCTGTGCCATCCATTGACCCAACTCTTACTTTCTTACAGTTGCCATTTTCTTTTAGTAATTCATGACTTACTAAAAAAAAAAAAATCTAGTAGATATTACATCTCCTCTGCAGCATTAATTCGACCTGATGTAGACTTATTAAAACATTGTAAAAATAAGCTCTGAAGTTAGGGAGTTCTGTGTGAAACAGTAAGAAAGAAGTCAACTTAAATTTTGGTTTCATTTAGGGGTAGGTTGACTGATGGAAAAGTAGAACTTAAGAGCAAAATTAATACCATAAAGAGGAAGCAGCACAAAGGAAAAATGAACATAAAACACACTGTATATTTTCCCTCAAGAGCTTAAACAAACATGTTTATAGTCTGCTGGAATATTCTGATAGATACCCAGTATGTAAGTCATTTAAGCCATTAACTTTGAACACTTACCATCATGTTTATTTATTTGTTTAACAAAAGGAACCCAAACTTTTCCTTATTAGGAGACCATTGTCCACAGAACTACTAAATGGTTTCTGATATCAGCTAATCCTGCTTCAGCTAATAGATCAGCCAGAAAACCATTCCTAGAGTACTTCTGGGTAGTTCCAAATGGAAAGAAAAAGCTTGATTAGACAACAGAGATGGGAAGACTAAGATGGAGAAGACTAACTTTGGAGAAGACCAAGATGCTAAATGGTTCCTCGTGCCAATACATTCTATAGAACTTAGCACTAGTGCTGATCCTGAAAGCTTTCAACAGTTGCTTGTTAAACGGGTGACCAATGAATGAATTGAAACACTGGGCTGGGGAGCTCTATATCCCCTTGAATTGTTAAATTTTGCCCATGATACTTCCTTTTTTATATTTTTCTCTTTTGTTAATTCGTCCCTCGAGTAGATCTTCAACTCCTCTGCCTCCCAATCCATGGGGGCTACTATGTTCCTAAACACACTCCTCCCCTGCATTTCCTCTTAACTATTCTCCATTTTTATCTCTTTCTTTCACTCTTTCTGAAATGATTTACCCTTTCTGGCACAAAGCTCAATTCTTCCCTGAGCTTTCATTACAACATCATGGGAGACAAAAGAGAGCTATAAGGTAAGGGGAAAGGGATAAGTAAATAGACATTAAAATCAGGGATACAGGGACAAGCAGATGGCATAATGGTTATGTCACTGGACTCCCACATAGTCAAATACCATTCAAGTCCTGGACCTGGTGGCTTAAAACTCACACCAGGCATGTATGCATGCATGTCCAAAAATCCCAAAAGGAGAATGCCTCTGGGGATTTCTTGCTTTCTGTCTTTCCATCTCTCTCTTTCTGGCAAGTACGCACATCCTATAGCAAAAAATTCTCTCTAAAAGAAAAAAGAAAAAAAAAGATACAGCAAGCAAGCAAAAGTTAGAAAGGCTATTTGAATGCATCTCATTCTAGTTTAGGAAGAATCTCCATAGTATGATCAAGGTTATCTTTCAGAGGAAATTTTCCCAGAATTATTCTATTCTACAATGGGATTGGGACTCAAGTGAGATTAGAGCAATTTCCTAGAAGAGATTATAACTAGTTAGGTAAATATGGCCACTTCTTTCAGGGAAATAGAATTCAGAATAGAGGGTTCTGTTGATTAATCAGATTGTCTGGGAAAGGAAGACAAAAATCCTTTGGGTATAGGACATGTTCTCTATCTCTATTCAGGTGAGGATTGCATGGGTATGTACATATATAAAATTTATCGGGACCAGCAGTTGGCATAATGTTTAAGTGACTAGACTCCCATGTAGTTGACCACAGTTTGAGTCCTAGACCTGGTGACTTAGGAGAATGGAGGAGAAGGGATTGCAATGTGACCATCACCCCTGGGGGGGGGTAATTTCTCCCTTTCTGTCTCTCTGTCTCTCTCTGTCTTTCTGGTAAATGCATGTGCCCTATAGCAAAAACCTCTCAAAAAAATTATCAAGCTTTACATTTAGAATCAAGCACTTTACCACAAAAGAAAATGAAAGATAAAAAACTCTATTACACTAAAAAAAAAGTAAGAATGGAATCAGTATAAAATGGGCTGTAAAACTGAGAATTCTAACCAATTACAACAGTCCTTTGAAAGAGCAATGTTTGGTATGTGGCAATGACACCAACAACAGAGAAGTATAGGGACCAGCTGATGGCATAATGGTTATGTCCCTGGTCTCCCATGTAGTCGACAACAGTTTGAGTCCTGGACCTGGCAGCTTAAAATTCACTCTGGGCATGTGTCTGTGGTACCCAAAATTCTGAGAGGAGAGTGGAGGAGAAGAGATTGTGGTGTGGCCAACCCCAGCACCCAACCCCAGCCACCCTCCCCACTGTAAGTAGTTAATTTCTTGCTTTCTGTCTCTCTGTCTTTGTCTCTCTGGCAAGTGCATGTGCCCTATAGCAAAAATCTCTCTAAAAAGAAAACAGAGAAGTATAGATCCTATAATATAAAAAAAGAGCCTGTGATCAATAGTTTGATATCATTTCCTAGTGATTTCTAAGGTCGATAGATAGTTTCTGAGGGATCCTAATATTCAGAAATAGAAGAGAAAGGGTCAGTCTAGCAAACTCTGTGTAACAATTTTTTTTTAAATTGCGTGTACAACATTTTAACCCTTCATTCTAAATGAATAAATTAGCTTTCCAATAGATATGCCTTTTTTCGTCTGAATGGCTTCATGAGCCAGTTTTCAAAGTTTGCTTCCCATTTTATGAGGCAATTATCAAAGCTCTGGAGTATTTGGGTCCAAATGATCCAGTTTACCTGCAGGTTCCAGTGTCTTACCAGCCTTCTTAATGTATACTAAGGACAGAATCCTGGTGGAGGATCTGTGAACTATGGGATGGGGTGAAGAGGTAGTAGCCAATGAGGTAGTCATATCTCTCCATCTTGCTGGGAAAAAAAGAGAAAAAGACAAAATTAAGTTGATTTTAAGAATGCAGCTCTAGGGACCAGCAGATGGCATAATGATTAAGTTGCTGGACTCCTAGGTAGTTGACTACAGTTCAAGTCCCAGACCGGGCAGCTTAAAACTCAAATTGGGCACATGTGCATGCATGCCCAAGATCCCGAGAGGATACTGGAGAAGGGACTCTGGCATGGCCACCCCCCAGGGGGTGATTTCTCGCTTTTTGTCTTTCTGTCTCTCTCTGTTCAGCGAGTGCACGCACCCTATAGCAAAAATCTCTTTAAAAAATGCACCTCTATAAATTTACACTTTTGTCTTGGTGAAGTAATATTGTTACAGACACTAAATATGTTTCAAAACACTTATTATACAACATTTGGTTGGTTGCTATTGCCCATTAAAAGGACGATAAAGAAAAACATCTGGAAATATGTGAAGATGCACTTCATTTCAATATATTTAAAATACTTGGTTGCCAGATGTCAATTTTTTTTTTTTGGAGAGTTTTTTGCTATAGGGCATGTGTGCTCATCAGAAAGAGACAGAGATACAGAAAGTGAGAAATCACCCCCCCCCCTCCGTGGAGATGGCCACACCTCAATTCCTTCTCCTCCATTCTCCTCTCAAGATCTTGAGCACACAAGTTTAAGTCACTGGGTCCAGGACTCGAACCACAGTTGACTGCTTGGGGGGTCCAGTGACATAGGCATTATGCCAACTGCTGATTTTGCCAGATGTCAATTTTAAGAGATTTTGGAAAACAGTGTCTTTTAAAGAACTGTAAGTCCATTCAACATGTTCTCAGAATTTACTCTGACCATTTTCTGTAGCTATTTAATCTGTGAAATTAGTGAAGAAATACATCATTTGCATAGCTCTCATGCCAAAAATAACACAAAATCTTCTAGAGCAAAACAAAAAGCAAAACAGAACAAGAAGTCACTAATAGATCTCAAGAAATAAAGTGAGGGTCTAAATGTATTCCTAATCCCAGTGGAATCAGAATGAGAAGGAAAGTAAATGAAAAGGGCCCAAGATAGTTTTGTTTAAACATCACTGTATGCTAGCTTAGTGAATGTGCTAAGATCAATGCAAAATTGGATTCTCTCCTGCTGACAGGTTTTGTTTATTGCCAGACCTGTAGATACATGCTTGTTTAGCAATGACAATATTGTAGATCTTTTTTGTCTGTGATTCATAAAATTGCCTCAATTTAATTCATTTTGTTGGCCAGTATAAACCTCTAACACTTTTAAGAAAATGTTAAGATGAAAAATGTTTTAGCTATTCACTTAATGGGAAATGGTGTGTATACAGGCACCCCACACATATTTGCTGACTGGTTGAAAAGAAACTTCATTTCTGAATGACATTGTGACATGCCCAGGAAATGAAAACCAGTCATCCATATGTAGCCTAGGCTGTCACTTATGTGTAAGGAGGAGATAGAGATTTCAGAGAGTAATTGTCCCAAATTTCACAGCCTCTAGAGAAGCCTGCATGCCACAATGTGAAAACCAGATACTTGTCAATTTTCCTTGCTATTCAAGGCAAGAATTTATATTTTATGACTTGCTTCAAATATAAAATAGAAACAGAAGTCATCATGAAATAATTTTCTAGCATGTTTCAATAACTTGGCTAGGTTGGCAGACATTTTTGGTATTATGCAACAACAGGGAATTAAGTATGAGACAGAAAAATGCAGAGGTGAACTCTTCAGCGCCACCCCCAATGACAGGGAAGCCAGAGTCTGAGCAAAATCGAAATAAAATGGTTTGATTACCTTGAGTATCTTACAGCTTCATGTTTTATTTTGTTTGTTTGTTTGTTTTGGGGGGCTTTTTTTGGAGAGGTTTTTTGCTATAGGGCGAGTGTGCTCACCAGAAAGAGAGAGACAGAGAAACAGAAAGTGAGAAATCACTTCCCAGTGGGGATGGCCTTCTCCTCCATTCTCCTCTCAGGGATCTTGGGCACGCACGCATAGGCGCCTGGCATGAGTTTAAACCACCAGGTACGGGACTCGAACCCCAGTCAACTACATGGGAGTTCAGTGACATAGCCATTATGCTAACTGCTGGTCCCACAGTTTCGTGTTTTCTAAAATTCATCAATGATGTTACAGAGCAAATAAAAGCTAGTCTTGAACTGAGGCAAATATCAATAGTCTGATTTGGGCATAGAATTCTTTCTCATTTTCGCTCACCAGTTAAGTGAATGAATTTATCAATTTTACAAGTGTATATCACTTCAATTCTGTATAGTTTCTAAGACCATACACTAGGTACTGCCTTGAGGGCCAGCAGGTGGCATACTAGTTAAGGCACTGGACTCCCACATGGCTAACTGCAGCTTGAATCCCAGACCTGGTGGCTTGAAAATCACGCTGAGTGTGTGTGTGTGTGTGTGTGTGTGTGTGTGTGTGTGTGCACTCCCAAAATCCTGTGAGGAGTCTGGAGCAGAAGGAATTAGAGTACCCATCCCCCCCGGGTGGTGATTTCTCACTTTCTCTCTCATCATCTTTCTTTGTCTCTCTCTGGTGAGTGCATATGCCCTATGGCAAAACTTTTAATAATTTTTTTTAGAGAAGTGAAAACAATGTGACCCATAGCCTCAACAGTCTTACAGATAAGACAAAGAGCCCAAGTGTGGAATTAAGACCATGCTTCTTCTTCTAATTTCTTCATAATTAAGAGTTAGCAAAAGCCTCCAAAAATCTAAGAAGTACTTATTCTGAAGTGATTGGTTGTTCTTTATTCAATATTCAAATATTGAAAGGAGAGGAAATCTTGCCATTCACAGTGCTTTCTTTAAACAATACATTTTTACATGTGTCAAAACATACAGATCTGGGACTAGCAGATGGTGCAATGGTTACATCACTGGACTCCCACATAGTTGACCACAGTTAGAGTCCCGGACCCAGTGGCTTAAAACTCAGTGCCGACTGCGTATACGTGCATGTCCAAAATCCCAAGAGCAGAAGGGATTGCAGTGTGGTCATCCCCCATGGGGGGTACTTTCTCACTTTCTGTCTTTCCATCTCTCTTTGTCTCTCTGGTGAACACATGCACCCATAGCAAAAATCTCTTTAAAAAAATACAGAGCTGACCTCATAGCCTAGTGGTTTAGGGAGCCAGATCCCACATGATCAACTATGGTTCAAATCTTGATTTCAGTGGCTTGAAAACCATGCATATGTGTATGCATGTCCAACCTTAACAGTTGGAGGAAGAGAAGGGCTTTCAGTATGACAGTGCCCTATTGGGGGTTGCTTCCTCCCTCTCTCTCTCTGTTTCTTTGTCTCTCTCTTGTAAGTGCACCTGCCCTCTGGGAATTTAAACAAAAAGAGAGTGGTCAACCCATGATCTGGTGAGATAAGAAAGCTGAATCTCACATGCCTTCTACATGGCTCAAGTCCCAGATCCAGTGGCTTGACAGATATGCCAGGCACATGCATGTGAGTCCCCAAAATCTTGAAAGGAGAGAGAAATGGAAGAGAAGTAATCATGCTGTGACCATGCTCACAAAGTATGCTTTCTCCCTCTCCCTCTCTCTGGAGAGCACATGCAATCTCCAGCAAAATTAAAAACTAAAAAGAAAAAAAAAAAAAAGAAAAGAAAAGAAATAAAGAAAAAAAAGAATGAGCTTTTCTTTAAAATAATTTTGAGATCTTCAAAATTAATTCACTATGTTTCAATTGGGCTAAGAAACTGTTTATTTTAAGGCTTTAAGGAGGGGCTAGCAGGTGGCTTAGTGGTTGAGGCTCTGGACTCCCACATGGACAACTGCAGTTGAGTCCTGGACTTGGTGGCTTGAAACTCATATTGGGCATTTGTGCACATGTGCCCAAAATCCTGAGAGGAGAGGGATTGCAGTGTGGTCATCCCACTGAGGCAGAGGTGATTTCTTACTTTTTTTCTCTGTATCTTTCTGGCAAGCCCATGTGCACTATAACAAAAATCTCTCTTAAAAAAAAAAATGTCCTTAAGGAGAAGCAAGTGTGTTGGTATCCCACCCCCCTATACCTTTGCCTTTCAATTCCCCTGGGCTCTGCCATATTCCCCCTCAGGTCACATCCCAAACCTCCAAATGGGATAATGAAACTCAACTTTGTAAAAATACTTAGAATCTTAACTCTATATAAATGTTTTTAAAAGGCATTTACAACCTAAATTTAAATTTTAAATAAGACATTTTATAGAACTCTTTAAAATTTTTCCCATCCCTCAACATTTCATTCCTTGACACAAAATTCTTGAAAAAAATACTATGTTGCTGGTAGTTAATATATACATATATCTATATATATGTGTATATATATATACACATACATATATACATTATATATAGACTTAAAGTTCTTGGAGTATATACATATATACATCATATCTATAAATTTAAAAAACTTGTGCTTCCAGATGTCTACAATGAAATACAATTTTCTAAAACTAAGCTGAAAATGCATAATGCTGAAATTATTTAGTAAAGTCATAATTAAAGTTTTATGCTTTCCTTTTTCTTTTTTTTTTTTTATCGCCATAGGATGTGAGCACTTTCCAGAGAAAGACAAAAAGAGAGAGACAGTGAGAGGCAAAGTGAGAAGTCACCCCCAAAGGGGACGACTATTCTGCAATCCCCTGTCCACCATTCTCCTCCTGGAATTTTGGGCATGTGCATGCACACACCTAGAGTGAGTTTCAAGATGCTGGGTTTCGGACTTGAACCACAGTCAATCATGAGGAGTCCAGCACCTTAACCCCCATGCTGTCTGCTGGCTCCTCACTTTTCTTTTTTTTAGCTGCCAGAGGATACATATACTTTCCCAATGGAATGTGATCATGCTACAATCTCTTTTCCTCCATTTCTCTATCCTATCAGGATTTGGGACATGCATGCTTATGTTCCTGGAATGTTTTGCAAGCTGTAGGGGCCAGGATTTGAACTGTCTGTGTTCTTTGTGGGATCTGGTCATCTACGCACAGGACTTAGTTATTATGCTATGTGGCCAACCTTTTTAGATTATAATTTGCAATTGGGCATACTATCTCTAGCAGAACGTTTCAGTTGAAATGTTCTTTATCATATTTCTAAATTAAAAAAGAAAGCTCTCTCGTCATTCACAGAAATTCAACAGTTGAAGATTGTACCAAATACGTACTGTGAAAACATACAGGGCTATCTTGTTTGGGAACTTAAAAACATAATAAATGCCTTGACTAAACAAAGAGTTCTGAGGCTTGTGCTGGTTGTTTTGGCAAATCTTTGTCACTCTGAACCAGGGTGTGTCCAGACACTTTTGCCAATGAAAGTCAATATTTGACCAGTGTGTTGGCTTACTGCCCCTAATAGAGCATGAATCTCATTTCAGAGGAGGACATTGTTGGAAGAAGAGTTGCTGAAAATACTCCCCGGGGTTCCTTCATTTACTCAGTTTATTCCACTCCTCCAAGTGATCTGTCTGTGCTCACCCCACTACATGCCCTGTATTTACCCTGCATATGTTTTCTAGCCATTGATTTCCAAGCAGGACTACTGATTAAAGCAGCACAGTGGTCCAGTCATAGTAGCATAGAAGCTTTTAGAGCATATTTGTTTTTAGGATAAGAGATCATTACATTCATAAATATACTACTGCAGGAGCTACATGAGAGGCCTGGATTCAATTTCTGGCTGGCCCCAAAAGCTGGGCATAGAGGTATGAGCCTGAAGTCCCAGCTACTCAAGAAGTTGAGCTAAGAGGACAGTGACAGCAAGACCCTGACTAGGAAAAAAAAAAAA